TAGAAAGGTGGAGATCATGAAGAGATTAGTAATTGAGTAATGCTCTTTTACTTCGTTCTCCGAATTAGCTGCATGTCCATGTATTTTGTTTTAAACATGCATCAGGACTAAGCTCAGAGATTCGTATGCGCATTATTTGTTTCATTTAGAGTTATTTTTCGGCTTAAGAATGTGTGATACTCATTCTGAGGTATTCTATAGAATTCGCGTAAGCTTCAAATGAGCTAAACTATTATACTTTTGATTACATCAGAAAAAAAATTTATCATTTTTTGGAAACGGCTAAAATTCGAGGTTCAGGGTAGCAAGCAGAAATGAAGCCGTGTGCTTAATTCACTACCAAGTCCACGTATTCTCTTGTGTCGGGCTATGGCTTTATTGTACTTGCAAAGACCTCAATAGAAAAATGAGTAATTGTTATTTATCATCAGTGCTCCAAATCACCTCCATAATCAAAGGCAGTAGTCATTTTCCCACTCGTTGTTCGGGCCATTATCGTGAGTGCCAGGAGGGCAAGAGCGCCATCCTATGGTTTATGAAAGTTTGAGGCGTGTAGTTTAGACAGCAGAGCCCCGACCTGTCGAGATCGGGCACGATCGGGTACCTGCCGGGCCCGTCATGGCCAAACTTGCCAGATCGGACAACAACCCCGCCGCCAAAGAGACAGGAGCCCCATCGCCAGCTCGGCTTCGTGTATTGCCGGCACCAATGCCCGCGCCTATACGGGCTGTGACCTGTACAGGAACCCCTTCCCGTATAAAAGATTGATAAATACCGCCCCAGGGTAGCAAAATCTGCAGCATTTTCAAATTCCCCTTTTCGTACACTTATTATAAATCTTACATATGCATAGTTTGGCAGTAATGGTTACGTTAGCCTAAATTACGTTATGATACTGAGAGGTGCCCCACGTGCGGAAATAAGAAAGTTATTTGAAAAGGAGTAATTAGATTTCAACCCAATACATGCTTGCACAAGCAGTTCTATATTTTTTGGTACCTATTAGGTCGTTTCAAAAGTAATTTCGCTTTTTTCATACGGGCGCCATATTTGATGGAACAAAGATTTCTATGTGATCTTGGAAGCGTTCGATGCAGAGTTTCATTCTCTTTCTAATGATTATGAAATTGTTGCAAAACGGTCAATGAGCTTTCAGAAAATAGCCAAAATCTGCTACCCATGCTTTTTGAGATGGTCAAGTTTCATGATTTTTTAAAACTTTTAAATCAACCCTCCGAAAAAGTGCAAGTAACGCCTTTATAGAGCAAACCCTACAGCAAAACTGCTTTTTTTCCTTTCCATAGCTAGTCATACATTTTTAACAGAATTTTAACTGATGCTACCGATTTCCATACTTGGAGAGCTAAATCCTCGTAGAACATCAAAAGAAGAGTAGCTCGCGCACTATTTGATGCAGCTTCTTCTCCTCTTTCTAAAGAGTGTTTTTTGTTTCCGATTCGCTTCGTTTCCGAGGATAAAATCATCGTGACTTATTTTTTTAGCGAGCCCTAGGCTGTACCCGAAAAATTCGAAATATGATATCTCGAACCCGTAAACTCTCATTTGCTTTGTAAAATTAATGCTAACTCGTAGTACCATCTTGGTAGTCTCAAATTCCGAAAAATTATGATGTTCGATGCGATGGCTGAGGAGAGCCTGCCAAATCCGATGGTTCTGTACTGTATTCTATAAGGTTTATCTATCGAATCTTTGCTTGAGCTCCTTCTGAGGATTGATATGAAAGTTTTGAAAAATCGTGAAACTTGACCATCTCAAAAAGCATGGGTCGCAGATTTTGGTTATTTTCTGAAAGCTCGTTGATTGTTTTACAACAATTTCATAACCATTAGAAAGAGAATGAAATGCTGCATCGAACGCTTCCAAGATCGCTTGGAAATCTTCGTTCCATCAAATATGGCGCCCGTTTGAAAAAAGCGAATTTACTTTTGAAACGACCTAATATTTCGAATGTGTAAGTAGTTTCATTTTGCTTGCTTCGAACATCTTTTCAAGTAGGTCGTAATGGACATCTTTTTTGAGTTCTATTGTGAAATTTATTCACCTACTTGTTAAAAAAAATCTATAGCGTACGGTCGCTCTTCATTATTGTAGGATTATAGTAGAAACCTTTTGGCTTACAGCGTCATTGTGGATCAGTCGTGTTTCGAAAGAGCTTTTCAGAAATTCTAAAAGGTGGTGTGCCATTGATTTTACGCGCGCTGATTTCACTATTCAACTTTTCAAGAGCTTTTAAAAGGGTGTGATCACAATTTTAGGGAGCATTGTGAAGACAGTCATTACGGTTTACCTAGCAGAGGTTATGAAGGAAGTATCGTGGTCAAATGCAAAGTTCATGTTTGGTTTTATCGACTCTAGTTAGCTTGGTCTAAGAGTTCCAGATTGTTTGGTTTGCATTTCAAGGCGAAATAGAGCCTTAGTGGCTTGCAACCCCTTTTGAAGTTCCTACTGGTAATTCTACAGTAGTGAACAAAGATAGTTGATTCGCTCCATGCTGTAGATCCAAGCTGAAACCAGCTCTACAAAATGGTACATGATGGTAGGCAAAAGTTTTGTAGAGAAAAGAAATATTAACGATCAAACATTGTATACCTACTTTTGGGACACTCTGTATATTTCGTGGAATACGATCCCTGTTTCGTTTCAAGTTCTGAATTGGGATCTTCTTTCGTGATTCATCGTGTACTACGTTTGACTGCTTCCTTCCCAGACAAAGTGCAACTGTCGAAGCTCTAGTGTGGTTTTTGATTCGTTGTCTGAACTATTAAAGCTTTTTTCTGAGTCTTCCTCCCACTCGCAATGTTTCATTCCTACAGTTTCTTACATACAAAAACACTCATTATCTCCACATTGCTTTCTTAGTGTGATTTTGTCATTCAAATGATAGCAGTCAAGGGATAGTAAATGATGCTCATCAACTCTGAAAAAAAAAGATGCGATTTAGCTGAGAGCTGTGAGTGCGTAGGAGGTATAATAATCTTAGCTCTGAACATTATGCTACTCTCCAACTTTTTTACACTCAAGTATTCGTTTGTACGATAAGATTTCTTTTTTTCTTTTTTCTTTTTTTGTTTCATTAGGAAACAATTAGAACCAGGGCTCGGCACGAGCTGGCACCAGGAAATTTTCAAAACGAAGTCCCCCTTGACTCTAAACCCTAAACGTAAAAAACTCCCAAAAAACGAAACGTCACTAAAAAAACGTCGCAATTTGTCGACAAAAACGATATCCCCTTTGCTTTTTGTCCCAAAACGATATCCAGCTTGCCCCGTGCCAGCTGGTGCCAGGCCTTGATTAGAACCCATTAACAGCAGCTTCTCGCTTGGTGCCGGAAGTACTTAAATTCTGTAGATTCTGTAGAAAAGCAGACGAAAGAACAAGAACATCATCATTAGAACTGCCTTGTTCTTCGTTCAGAATAAATATATTGGTCGGTCCGAAAGTTCCTGCCGTTTTTCAGACCTATCCTCAGATCTTTTAGGATATTGTTAGGCAAACGCTCTAAATAGTGTTCGATGCAGATCCCCTTCTAAGCAGTAAGGTTCTTGTTCTGAGATATTGGAAGGTCGCGTAATCTTTCAAATTTTCAACTTTTAATATTTACCTACCCTAAACAGCTATATTTCAATATTATCATTTGTGACTTTTGGGAGAGTTTTGATAATACAGTGATTTTTTGGGGCGTCTATGTTGTTACTTAGTATTGTGCAAGATAATTTCTGTAAAATGTTCATTTTTGCGAATTCGTATAATACACAAGTGCTTCTAACACTAATAAATTTCTGGATTTTGAGAGTTTCGAAATCGATTATGATTTACCACTAATACCCAGTAATTAAGCACTTACCACTTCTGGCAAAATTCGATTTTTTTTGGTGCAGCCTGAGGCGCTTATAATATTGAAATTATGCTAATTTCCTGACCGAAGATCTCACAAACTATATAAGGAGAAGCAACCACCAATTAAAGAATTTAAATGCTTCACAAAAATTATTTCAAAATCCTAGAAGTCGACTATGGATGCCAAAAAATGCTTTTGGTCTAATGAGTGAATTTCAAATTCAAATTTGGCAACGTAACTGTGCACAGATGGTAATGTGATCTCAACTTCCATCAAAGATTTATAGTCCTCTAGATTATTCAGCGGTTACTATAGTGCCGCTGAGGTGACGCCAAGGCCGAGTGAGTTCATTTGCAGGTAAAAATGGCTTTGGAGCACACATTAATTTTTTGACCATCTCTGCGCTGGCATTGCTGAGACTGCAAAGGCACTACATAGACCGTTACGTCTCTTAGGCTATAAACTGCAATAGATGAAGGCTATAGACATAGTCTAAGGAAAGTCGTCTGAAAACGTTATTTTTCGTATTGCATTTGACTTTAGCTACCGTAATTTACCCATCAATCAAAATGAATGCCGTTGTTGCATCTGATTCTACTCTCTAGCTAGAATCATAAATGGACTCTTAAATATTCTTCGCAAAATTGCGCGTGGGAACGTTATGACCCACCAACGGGTCGTGATGGTAATTGCTCCAGTTCCCAAGCGGCAGAATATGTTGCTAACATTCTGTAGCAAATAGAAAAAAATTTAACTGGATCAAGGAGAATGTACAAGATACCTTCACATGCAGCCTCAGTCATTGCAAAAGTACATGCAGATTTTAATTAACGAATATCCTGTCGTTCGAACTGCATACGAAGATAGAAACTTGATTAACGAATTTGAGATTGCTGCATTATCGTAGTGCCTGCTTTTGCTCCCGAATTAGCTGACAGCGAGATACTCCCGTAGTTCGTGCTCCGTCTTATAATAGCCTTTCTATATTAAGTTTGTACCTTCAATCAGCTCCTATCTTCGTATGGCATTGCTTATTTCCCATCAATGTTTTTCATGATCTATCGTCATCTAGTTGGCTGAAAATATTTGTAGACGTTCTCATTACTAGGATAGCTTCAGATTGCGTTTCTGATTTCAGTGTGCGTAGTGTTTCATATTTCACTCTTTCTTCTCTCCTGCAGCGGAAGTGAGTTACTATTTACTCATAACTAAGTTGAAAAATCAAAAAATCAGTGCTTCACTGATCAATGCAAAATTCTGACTTTGTGCTTAGCATATAACATAGATAGTACAGAACATAGTCAACTGGGACTGATAGGCCTTTATCATCGAAAGAGCAAAAACTGAGCGTAAAGGAACTTAAACCAGGGCTCCATAGGTGGCTTATAAGCAAGTTATATATCGTTTTTGGGATAAAAAGCAAATAGGATATCGTTTTTGTGGCTGAAAAGACGTTTTTTTAGTCGACGTTTCGTTTTTTGAGGATTTCTACGTGCATGGCTTAGGGATCAAAGGGCATTTTGGGAAAGTCAAAGGAGACATCGTTTTTTGCATCTTCGGGAAGCCATCTCGTGCAAAGCTTGATTCTTTTTTAATGCCGATTAGTTCTTTCCACTTTTTCAATACACTGATTCATCGCAAGTTTAAACCTTGATAGCTGCTTCCAAATTGTTTCTGGAGTGTTTACGCAACCGTGCTCTCCCAATCTTCTTTAAAAAAAAACCTTTCCACTCCACTAAATGATACAATTTTGCTTCGCAAATAGCTCATGCATTTTTCACTCTTAAACTTTTTAGGTTTCGCCACTTGCGTGCCATAGGACCAACGAAATTTTTTGCATATTCCTTCGCAATGCACGCACACAGCATTTAGGACATATTTTTGTTTCAGCTTAGTCCAGTACTAATGCTACTGATGATGTACTCTATGCTGCTCATATGTCTGTCGTCTTTCTCAGCTAGTGCAAAAACAGAGCAGGAAAAGATTGGCTTTTTCTTGATATTTGGCGCGGAATGCACCAAAAAGCTTCTCAATTTACATCCAGTCAGAAGAGTGATTTTGAAATTCTAGTTAGGATGATCAGCTTTCGTAAATTCGGAACAGTTCCTTCAAATTATCTACGAATTATCGGATACTTGCGGAGCGATGTCTTTAATAGAACGTTAGTTTTTATAGAGAGTCTCTTTATAAGTGACAATGTGGAAACTCAGTGCGACATCTTACCTCTTTTATTTCTTAGACACGAAATATCACACTTGCAGTTCATTCTTCAAGAAAAGAAGCGTTGTCTCAAAAGTTAAAGCTACTTTTTTGAAGATATTAGAGTTAGAAGCCATTTTTTATGTGCCATTCTTTACTACTTTAACGCTTCGGAAGATACAAAATTGATATTACTTTGACATTTTTTGCCCATGAAAACTTCTCGAATATAGGATGCTATCTAAATGAATTCCAACAATGAAGCACCCCTTTTCGCGTCATTCTAGCTTCAGTAGAGCTTTAATAAAAGCTCAGCCATAAGATCAAATCTACATAGTTCACAGCGGCAAATGCGGTCTATTTGCGTTTTTCTCGAACAATGAACTTGCAAAGAAGTTTTTTGGTATAATCACCTACTTTCGATGCATAGTGGAGCATAAGAGGCGGAACATTGCTCTGTTCTACACCAAACGTTAATCAAACCATAGTTTGGTTCGCGAGAATGTATTTCAGGGGTGTTTTAATTGCTTCTATTCGTAGAAGAAGATGCTCATTTACCACGTCAACCACAGTGCGGAGGCAATATGTTTTTCTTGAACACTACATGACAAACTTAGAAATCTATGACGAGATGTATTTTTCTCTCTCTGATTCTCAGACGGTGAATCATCTGAAAATTTAACATCGTCAAAAACATTGCTCACTAACTCCTGTGTTTTCGCACCTTGCTCATCAGGGTTAGAGAAATGCCACAAACTTCTCCGCACTGCCATTAAGCGGACGAAGGAGTCGCAGTCTTCCTTGTTCCCGTGGACTGATCTCACAAGCGAGGTCCATTTGGTCGAAGTGGCCTTTTCACATGATATTGATACGACTATGAACAGCATCGGAAGCTGATTACAAATCTGTTTTAGTTATCTGCCGAGCGTCTCTGGACGTCGAGTTATGAGTTTTTTGAGTTTGAGAAATTGAACGCATTAATAGAACAGCATTCGTTAGAATTGCTCAAATGGTCCAATGTTGATTATCAGACCACTCCATATGAACAATACCTTCTGTCCAAAAAACTCGACTCAAGGACCTTCCTTGTAAGTTGAGTCATCCGCTCAGTAGTTTTTCCAATCTTGCTATTTTTGGCTTAGCTATCACAAAGTGCTAAGTTTCTGGCCATATTCAATTTTTTGACAAAGTCGTACGCTATCTTTATCAGTCCTCTCCATCTTCACTGCCTACCTGAAGTCCCGCTTTATAATGCAAGATTTTTCTTTTTGATGAACTTTTCCGCTATCTTCCGTCACGCAAAGGCGTCTGCGATGCATAAGTAGTTGAATAAGCGGAGTGCTTCCATTTTATACCTAAAATAGTGCTCGCACACGTGGTAAATCTACCGTATCTTTTCTAATTGAAGTAACGTTGTTTCAATGGTTATGGGAGGTGAAGTGAGGAGAAAAGAAAGAGAGAAAGAATGGAATGGGATAAACAAGCTGTAGATAGATGTCGGACAGTAATTCTATCCTCGGAAAAAGGGTTCCGCAGCGTCTGACAAACAAAGTGTGTACCAGCCTGTGAGATAAAAGAAGGCTTGTGTTTAGATCTGTTCATCTTCCATTAAGATCTATTTGCAAAACGCAATGGAGATTTATACCAGAACTTTCCTGTGTGAAGGTGAACTGTTTTTTTACCAAAATAAGCTGATCAGTGTAGGTTGCTAGATCCGTTAAAGACATCAGTGACAGCGGTCTAATAAAGGGAACAATTTTCGGATGGCTTTTTTCAGCCTGTAAGACGAAGCGATTGAAAGCAAACAGAATTTCGCCCTAAGTTTTTTTTTGATTTCGTTCCTGCACTTATAAAGTTTTTGAGAAATTTTCGCGAGGCTATTTTTGATGCCTATGCCTCACTTTGCATGAATCCTCTTCTTGATGCGTTCTTTTGTAATGTCGAAGTAGAAAATGAGAATTTGATATGTGCTAACTCGCTACAATCCCTGCATCAAGAGCTTTTCGACAAGTTTTGAGAGCGAGAACAATTACAAGGTATAAATCTGATCACATTTATTATGAGCTCCTGTGAATATCCGGAGCAGACCTAATTCTAGAAAGACTGCAAGTTCAGCTATTAATGTATCCGGCACAGACGTCCCCTCTCTTTTAATGCGCCATGTATGAAAGTTTATCTCGAAGTAGTCACTTGAAAAAGAATAGAGTGCCATGGAAAGTATCTCATATACAGGGTGTCCCAAAAAGATGTGCACACTGTTTAATTGTCAATAACTCTCTTGCTTTCATGTCTTTTGCCAAGCTTGAGGTACCATTCTTTGAGCGAGGTTCAACTTAGATTTACAGTATGGAGCGACTTATCAGCAGCTCTTCTTTACTGTAGGAGCACGGTAGAAATTTAAGCCATTGAAAGCGGTATTTTGCCTAATAAAGCCAAACAAGCCAGAAACTCTTGAACTGGGTTAATTTAAGTTGCTGATCCTAAATATAAAAATTGCACGTCAGTACACTGTTTCTTTCATGAATTATTTCAGATGTAGGGTAACAACTGATTTCTCAATGTTTATCAGAAATGTGAATACGCCATCAAGAAAGCTTGAAAAACTGGTCGAAAGTTATGTAGTGAAATCAGCACGCCTGAAAACCTTGCTACATAAATTTTTAGACTTTTTTGAAATTAGTTCGTCAAAAGGCTTATTTCACAGTGACGCTGTACGCTGTTCATGCCGTGATCACAGTAACGAGGAGTGATTGGTGATTCGCTCCATACTGTAGATCTAAGCTGAACCTCGCTCTACAAACTGGTACCTCAACCTCGGCATAACACGTGAAGGCAAGAGGGTTATTAGCGATCAAGCTCTGTGCACATCTTTTGGGACACTCTGTATAGTTGATCTCACTGATATGAAAATGACAAATTCCTTTTTCAATAGCTTAAGGCATTCGACCCTATCGTCGATAGAAGAGCAAACTGTTGGAGAAACTATCCAGGACGTTTGAAACTGCGTAGTTATTCAGTAAAGCTGACAGTGCTTCGGTAGATTCACTTCGGCTCCTATGTTATATTAGACCTCTTGGTTTGACGAACTTTGAACTCTGCTTCAGATTTTGAAAATTTCAAAAGTTATCTTGGTGTGTGTTGGATAGTGCTGAGTGGGCGTGGTGCGAGCGCAGTCAGTCAACCTAGCCAATCTAGGGTAAAAAAAAATTCGGAAAAAGTCCAAGTTTCTCAACACTGACTTTTATCTCGTTCATGAATGCCGTAGATCACCTCAAAACAGCCGCTTGTAGAGCAAACTGCAATAGAGTTGGTGTAAGTCTAGCAGATTTTATCAGTCTCTAATAAAGTAAAGTCTGTGTAGTGCAGCAATGTGAATTTTATGCACAGTTCTGTTTTGAGTTAATGACAACAAAAAAGAAGCACCCAACCTGTCTTTCCTATAATTGTTCAGTACGTACTTCAATTATTGAACTCTTTGGGGCGTCACTGCATAAACTATGTTCGACACTTTTAACCGAGCGTGTCCTTTTAAAGCCTTCCAAACCCTTTGCCTTCTTGAGGCCACATTTAGATTAATTTCAGTATTATTGAATGCAGGGATTTTGCCAATCCGCATGGGGATTAAAACAATTTGCATCTGCACAATTTTTCTTTCGTTTCCTTTTTGCTTTTTCTTTAAAGGCGCGTCAGTTCTGTCGCGTCTCTGATACGTAGCTTTGTACTTCATAATTCATTGCGATCTCGACGGAATAGCTTGACTTAATGTTATAGAAGGAAAGTCCTGATTCAGGGTCTTGATAGCTTTTTATACGGAATCGTTCGGCAAAAGCTAGAAGAGGCCATGTAAACATCGATCATTTTTGGTTAAGTTGGCAGAAAATCTGAAAGAGTAAAAAGAATCAGGATTCGTCGGTATTTCACACATTTTGAAACTATTCTTTTCAACTCATTACGGATAATCGTGAAATGCGAGAAAAACTTCAAAATAAATA